GAGGGGAGAGCAAAAGGCTCTGAGTGGGCCCAGCCCACCCTGTCCCCAGCCTCCGCCCCGCCCCAGAGGCTGGCTCCAGCACCGTGGCCGGCCATCTTCAGCTATCTGCCTCTAATCTCCTCCCGGGAGAGGTCATCTGTGGTTTCAGTCACTCACCAGTGACTGGACAGTCACTCACCAGGACAACACTGGCCCCACCCTCAGCCTGAGGCCGCTGGACAGAGCCCAGCGGTGAGGGCGACCAGACCAGCGCTGCTCTCCGCGGGGTGTGGCCAGCCCCCACCCCTGTGCAAGAGCAGGGACAGACCGCGTGAGCGAAGGGGGCTCTGGGGAGCCCGGCTGGGACCCTGGGTCACCACCTCCCGCTGTGACCGGGGGCGCGTCCGTGGTTCCCCTGGTGCAGAGCAGGGCCAGGGGCAGATGGGAGAGCCTAAGCTCCTGCTGGCCCTGGCGTCTGGTCACTGGGGGCTTCTCCACCCACTTAGCTCACACAAGTCTCTGGGCAGGGAGGACAGAGGCCGTGCTGGCTGTCACGGAGCAAGGCGGGCTGGGAGCCCTGCGCCAGGAGGTCCCAGGGCCCCCAGGGCCCTGAGGGGCGGCCCCCCCAGGCCCAGCTCCAGACCGCAGAGCAGACAACAAAGCCGGGCAGGTGGAAAGTTCCCTCTGGCATTCTGCCCGGGCACCCTGGGCGCAGCTGTGCCAACCTGGGCGGGCGGGAGCCGGGGTCAGGGTCCAGGCAGCCACAGGGAGCTGGCGGGGGCTGCCAGGCCCTCCCCATCCATGCACAAAACCTGTTCTGCTCAGGGGGCCGACAGAGGGGAGGAGGAGCGGTAGGAAGCGCTTGTCGTCTGCCGGAAGTGGAGTGGCTCGGAGGCCGCGGCCCGGAGTCAGGCCCATGGTGCCAGCTCCTCCCGTGCAGAGCCCGTGGCCTCTGGGACGCTGACGGGGGGCTGGGGGCCGCTGCTGCTCCAGGTCCAGGCAGAAGGGAGCTTCGTCGAGTGCCGTAGGGGGTGGCTGGCCCCGTGTCTGCTCCCGTGGTCTCCGCCTTGTGACCTTGGGCAGAGCACGTCCCTCTCAAGGCCTCGCTTTGTGCATCTCGGACACGGGCCAAGGAAGGGCCGAGGACAAGCAGAGAGCTCTGTGTGCACCGGCATCTTCTCGCGGCCCAAAAGTGCGGGGTCCCTCGTGTGCGAAGGCCGCGCCGAGGGCCTCTCTCCCCCCCTCTGCCAGCCCCTCAGAAGAGCACTGCGTTTCCACGGCAACAGTCCCCGCCCCTGTCACGGAGACCTTTTGCAGAGTCTGGAGTTGGTTTCCAGAACGTTTACCCACAAACATTTTTGTGTTGCTGGTCAGTTCGGGGGGCTCTTTCAGAGCCAAGGAGACCTCTCGTGGCCTTGCCCGGTCACAGTCAGCCCAGGAGGGGCGAGGTGTCAGGCAGTGAGGTCAAGGTGAACCCAGGCATTGCTGGGAAAGCCACCCAAAGGGCACGTCCCACTGACCCAGAGTCAGCAGCCTGCAGACGTCACTGCCTATCCCGGGAACACTGTCCGTCTGGGCTGGCAGGAGCAGGCCCTCGAGATAAGGCAGGGCAGGGACCCAACCGCCGTGACTCACTGTCAGCCACCCCGAGGCCTGGCCTGATACCTTCCAGCCAGACGCACGAGTAAGCAGCAGGCCACCTGCTGCGCCGATCCCCGCCTCCCGGTCCCAGGAAGACTAGGTGCAGAGACTCCAAAACCCTCACGCGGAGGGAGGGGCGCACTGGGAACATGGGCACCAGGACACGCACAGACGGACACACGTGCCGCTTCCAGCCTCAGCCCGGCGCGTTCCCCTCCGCACCGGGTAGAAACTGGCCAGAGAGAAGAGGTCCAGCAGGCCGCCGCGGGCCCGGCTGTGCCCACCGTGTCCCTCCAATGCCCAGCCCAGCTGTCCATGAACTGTCGGGCCAACCCTTGTCCACATCTCTCCTTGTCTTGAGCAACAAGCACACAGTAACTGTGCGTCATCTGGAGACGGCCCCCCGGGAATGCGGGCTGCGCAGAGGCCTGAGGGTCCCCTTGGCAGAGCCTGCCCGCGGGCACCCCAAGGCACACCCTCGCTCGTCACCGCTGCTGCTGGCAGGGACCAGGCCTGACTGGCCGCCCTGCTGGATGTCCCCAGCAGCTGCCCACCTGGCGGCGATGGCAGGTCAGGTATGCAGGAGGAGCTGGCACGGCCTTCCCCACCTCCCTGCCTCGGAGCCACCAAGGGCTGGGCACGCGCCCTCCTGTGGGTCCTGACAGGACAAGCCGGGGGCCGGCTGTGGGTGTGGGGGGCCGTCTGCACCTGCTCAGGAGGAGTCCACACTCACAATTCGAGCCCTGCAGGTGCGGGCGATTTGCAACACACTGAGCCCGGGGGCCTGGCCTAGACCGAAACCAGCAGGTGTGGGCTGTGCCAGGCACTGGGGGAGCCCGTGAGAGCCCGGCCCCCTCGCCCTCAGAGGGTGTCTCCCCGGCCCTGGGGCGTGACGTCCCCGCCAGGCCGGGGGGCTGGGCTGTGGGGGGCTGGGCTCTGAGTCTGTTCTGCTCCCTTCTCGGGGACGCTTCCTGCACCTTCTACGGGTGCGGCCAGGGCTGCCCCCCCACCCCCCGCTGACGCACTCCCTGTCTCTTCCTCGCCCCACCTAGGGCAGCGACCAAGGTGGACACGGGCACCTCCCACCCACCCAGGAGAGCGAGAGGAGACAGTGCACCCATTTCTGGGTCCCCCGCATGGCCCGGGGACCCCAACAGTCCGAGTTGGGGGTTCCTGGGGGCCGTGATGGAGGAGGAGGGGGCACCAGGCTTCACCAGAGACCCGCCCTGTGCCTGGGACGCCACCTGGCCACCTGATTCGACATTCGGGCAGCCCTCCGAGGAGTGTCCTGCTGTCCCCACTCGGAGTTGGGCACTGAGACCACACAGTGGACGGGAGGGGTGGTCACGTGTGCGACACCACCTTCGTGCTGTCCGGACCACTCACGACTCAGGGGCGGGGAGCTTGGGGCTCAGAGGCCTGCAGGTAGACAGGTAGCCGCTGTCCCCTTGCCCTGCCCGGGAGGGCGACCCTCCGCCCTCTCCCACAGTCCCGTGTGCTGGGCTCTGGCCCGCAGCGTGGCTCAGGGTGTCAGGGCAGGAGGGCAGGAAGGATGTGGCCAGGCGCCTGCGGGCTGGGTGGTTTGGGTGCGAGGGCCTGAGGGCAGGGGCCAGTGGGCACCTAGCTCAGGGTAGGACCCCAGAGCCACCCCGTGGCGAGAGCTCACCTCATCTCCCAGGCGGCCGCCGCCGAAGCGGACGCCCTGGTGGCTTCCCCGCTTCCCCACTGTGACAAACTCCCTGGGACTCGGTGTTCCGCCCGCCCCGGGGCTGCAGGGCCGGGTCCCAGTCTCTCGCTGCCCCCTGCCACCCCCACTGCCTGGGGACGGGTCAGGGGACAGAGCAATGTGTGGGGACCCAGGCACCCTCGTGCCCAGGGTCACTTGGGGAGCAGCAGGCGGGAAGGATGGGGGCCCCTGCCTGGGTTTCCCAGGCCCTGCAGCCTCACCTCACTCCCCCACGCCCCTCCCGCAGCCCCCAACCCCCCACCTGCAGCTTCTCCCACCCCTGCCAGGCTCTCCAACTGCCGGGTCCTGATTTGGGGCCAGGTGCTCTTCTCTGCCTGGGCGACACCCAGGACACCCAGCGGGCCGGTCTTCCCGGAGCCGTCCTCTCCTGCGCCCCGGCCCCTTCCCGCCTCGAACTCTCGCCCTGCTTCTCACTGCCACGCTGGCTCCCCGACTCCCCCTGCCCAGACGCGGCTCCAGAAGGAGCCCCCACCACGACTTCTCTCCCAGGAGGCCTGACTCGCCCAAGACCAGCCGGCCGCCCGCACACACCTGCTCCGCCTCATGGAGCTGGCTTTGCATCTGCTGACCGCCCCACGCCGGGACCTGTGTGTGTGTGCACATGTGCACGTGTGCGTGTGTGCGTGTTCTGTCTCCTCCGGGAGCAGGACCAGAACCCACATTTCTAGCGAAGGCGCAACGGGCACGTCGGCACAGCGGCGGATGTGGGGCCTCGATGGCCGTGAGCTGTCTGTGCTGCTCGCCGTGACACCTTTGCACGCTGACCACGTGTCTGCACGCAGCAGGCGGCGTCTTAGACGGGTACCCCCGTGACCAAGCGGCATTTATGTCAGGTTTGTCTAACACCTGAAAATCAATCATTGTCAGACATAGTATCAACAGAATAAAGGCGAAAACCACACGATCGTCTCAGTAGACATAGAAAAAGCACTTGACGAAATACACCGTAAACCACGGTGACAGAACGAGCTCTACGTACGAGGGACGGAAGGGACTCCTTGGCTTTACAAAGAGCGTCTGTGCGTCTGTGCGTCTGTGCGTCTGTGCACGTCCACACCAAGCGTCACGTCGCGTGGCGACCGCGCCTCCCCCGCTCCGGTGACGCCTGCCTCGCTGGGCCTCTACTTCTGAGTGTGTAAGTGAGGCTGATAATAGTACGGGGTGACGAGTGTGTAAACGAAGCTACTAGTAGTATGAGTGTGTAAACGAGGCTGGTAACAGGATGGGAGTGAGCGAGTCACTGCAGCCACCAGCTGGTCCTCGAGTGGCGCTTACTTGGCCCTGGCTGAAGGCCTCGCGAATGCCGCGGGTGAGCCCCGTCCATCGTCACGACGAGCCTGTTGTCACCCCACAGCACAGAGCAGAAACCGAGGCCCAGGGGGGCCGAGCACTGGGCCGAAGCCACACGCAGCCGCTCGCTCGGGGCGTCCAGCAGGTCGGCCTGGTGCGGCCAGGCGCAGGCGTGTGGCGTCGCGGGCTGGACGTTAGCCCCGTGTTCTCGGGCGGCGCCTGCACCGCTCCTGCGGGCCGCCTCGGGGAAAGTCCCAGGCAGCCTGGGGATTCCAGGATCCCACAGGGACGTCCGGGAGGGTGAGTCACGCTTCCCGCTCAGCGCCCGTGGGAATGAGGGGCCTCCTCGAGCTCGGCCCGGAGTGGGGGCCTTGCTGCAGCAGAAGTGGGGACAGGGGACTTGTGTGGGGACCCAGGAGGGTGGAGCGAAGCGGTGGGCATATCCGCCACCCTCGGTGTCGCCCGGTGCCCTGAGCTGGGGCCGGGCCTGGGCAGCTGGGACCGGTTAGGACACGAGCCAAGGCGGCCGTGACTCCTCACTGAGCTCTGCTTCCACCTAGTGGCCTCTGACGTGCCAGCTGCCCCCACAGCACCCAGGAAGCCAGGTGCCCTCTGAGCCCCCACCCTGTGCGAGGCACAGCCTGCAGTGGGACCGAGCTCGTCCGTGAGTGCAAGGGGCCAGAGCTGACATGTTGCTGTCCCTCTCCGAGCCTGGGGGAGTCACGTGGAGGTTACATCAAGAGCTTAGCACGGGGCCGGCACCTGCTGGGTGCTCGGTGAATGCCGGGTGGTGTGGGTGGTGATGGCGCCACCCGAACAGCCCGGTGCCAGGCAGGAGGTGGTGCGTCTCGGCGACGCGTCCGGGGCTCAGCTCCGTGGTGGGGTGAGGGACCCAGTTCCCAGGACGGCCCGCGTGATGCTCGGGAGGGAGGGTGTCTGGGGGCCCTTGCACCCCCTGGGGTCTTGTCTCCACTCCGTCCCCGAGGGCGGGGGACGTGGGGGCTTGAGTCCTGGCCTCGCCTCCGCCGTGAGGCCCGGCGTGGTGGGGGCTGACCTGACCTCTGGAGGGACCTCTGCAGCTTCCCCGCGACACTCTGGACCCCAGACGAGCCCAGCCCTCTAGCCACTGGGGCCTCCTGTCCCCGCAAAGGGAAGAAACAAAAAGAAGCCAGAAGGGTGAGACTTTGGGGGGCCCTGGCACCCGCTTCCCTGCTGCGCTCTCCTCCCTCTGTTTTCGGGGACCCCGACTCTGCACGGCGGGCAGGCCCCTCCAGGTAGGACGTGGCCGTGGGCTCGGGGTCGTCCGGGAGAGTCGCCTGTGTGCGCTGAGCGTCCGGAGCACGGCAGGTGCTGGGGACGTTCCCGTCCTGCAGACGGCGCCGTCCTGTGCCTGGGCCGTGTCTGGGGCGGCGGCCGCCCGCTGAGGGGCATCTGTGTGGGCAGAAGGCCGGCAGGTGGACGCGGGCCTGCTGAGTTAAAGAACCAGGCCCGGCCTCACTCTGCGGCCTCGGGTCTCTGGTCCACGAAATGACATTGGCACTCGGCCCACAGGCTGCGGTGAGGCGCGGGGAGGCACGCTGGGGGAGGGCCTACCCGGTGCTCGGCGAGTGGCCAGCTTGCTGCTGTCTCCCCGAGTGGGCCCTGCCCTGGATCTGCCTCCCGAGGTGGGGTCCTCAGTGCCAGTCTGCCCCTACTCACCAGGGACCCTGGGAGAGCCACGTTCCCGCTGGCTCAGTGGCTGGAACAGAGGCCTCTGAGGGCCTGCTGCTGCCCCATGGGGCCTGGGAAGGCGTGCCCTAGAGGGCAGTACAAACCGCTCTGTGTCCAGTAGAGGGCCCTGCCCAGCCCACGGCCAGCAGGGTGGGAGGAAGTGGCTCGAGGCCACGGGAGCAGCTGGCAGTGCCAGACGCCTGACTGGGTGGACGGAGCAGCCGGCCGCCTCTCCCGTCCGCCCGGCACCGCTGCCCGGCCCTCACCTGCCGTCCGTGGGCCAGCTGCGTCCCGCTCGTCCGGCCATGCGGGGGCTGTGGCCACTGGCTGTTGCTCTCGCCGTGGTGTCGGCTGCAGGGCTGAGCAGCGTCTGCGGGGGTGTCCCCCTTCTCCCCAGCAGGCACAGAGCTGGGGTCCCCGAGCAGCAGAGCCGAGCCAAGAGGGGCGCCGAGGACGAGGAGGCCCCGGGGCTGCAGCAGTACGTGCCCGAGGACTTCCCCCGGCCCCTGCGCCCCGCCGAGCCCTCGGCCGCCGGCCCTGCCCCAGGCGAGGACAGACGTGCCCAGGGCGGCGGGCCAGAGCCGCGGGGCAACCTGACCAGGGCCCCGGGGCAGAGGCTGCAGGTCCGGAACCCGCTGTACCCCGTGACCGAGGACTCCTCCAGGGCCTACGCCATCATGCTGCTGGCCCTGGGGGTGTTCGCCGTGGGCGTCGTGGGCAACCTGGCCGTCATGTGCGTCGTGTGGCACAGCTACCGCCTGAAGAGCGCCTGGAACTCCATCCTGGCCAGCCTGGCGCTCTGGGACTTCCTGGTCCTCTTCTTCTGCCTGCCCGTGGTCATCTTCAATGAGATCACCAAGCAGAGGCTGCTGGGGGACATCTCGTGCCGGGCCGTGCCCTTCGTGGAGGTGAGCGTGGGGCGGGAGCGCCGGCGTGCGGGCCCCCAGCACCCAGAGCTGTCCTGCTTCCCCTCCAACCTGGGCGGGGAGGCCCGCGTGGTCTTGGGTCCAGGCGGCACTTGGCGGAGGCGGGCGGGGCGCAGGCAGGGACACAGGGCCCTGGGTCCGGTGTCCTCCCTCCTGGAGGGGCAGCTCCGGGCAGGCTCGCCCCCTCTCCATGCTCCGGCTGCCGCTGCCTTAGCCCCCTCCCTCTGGCCGGCCCGGAAGCCGCTGTCCTGTGTCCGCTCCTTCGCCCTGCGCCCACTGCTGCCGCCTGCACCCGCAGCTCCCGGCCCTGTCCTCCACGTCCTGCCTCCCGAAGTGGTGTCTGCAGGGAGACCCCAGACCCCCAACCCTACAGACCCCCAATCAGTCAGCGTCCACCCCCCGTGAACGCAACGTGGGAAGGAAGGGCCCTTTCTCATGGCCACTGTCACCGTCGCTGCCCCGCCCCCGGCACCTCCGGAGTGTCCTTCGAAAGGGCGGACGTGGCCCGATGCTGGCGCGGGGGAGGGGGCTCTAGTGCCAGTGCTGTCACTGCCACCCTGGTGTCACCGGGCCGGTCACAGCTCCTCTTCAAGGTCCCTATCCCCCTAACCAGGACAGTGGCCAGATGGCCCTTGCCACTGGTCTGCTCTACAATCCTAAAACGTCCCACTACTCTGACCTCTGGGGACACCCAGGCTCAGACGAGGTCGTGGGCCAGTGGACGTGTGGACCACAGACTCCAGGACGCTGCCGAACACACACAGCTGTGCCCGTTTGCGTGACACCCAGCAGGGCGGCCAGGTCTGCACAGGACCAGCCAAGCAAGCGGCTCTGGGGGGGTCATGAGAGCTGGGCTGGCCGAGGCCTCCCCACGAAGGCCGAGGATGAAGGCGCCAGGTGACACTCGACCTGCAGGCGGACGAGGGTCGGATCGGGCATAGGGACGCAGGTGCTGTGCCCAGCTCCGTCCCCAGTCACTGCATTAGCGACGATTTCCTGTTCGGAGGGCGTCAGAGGCTCAGCAGCTGGCACGGCCCTTTCCCGTCCTCCCCGACCCAGGGAGACCGCCCTCCTCCCCACTGTGGCCCCAAAGCCTCAAACCTGAGAGGAGACCCTGCAGCTGCCGGCGGCTTTGACTCAGCGTCACCCGCGCTCAGCGCCCAGGTGGGCGATGACAGGTGGGACGCAGGACTTTGGAAAGGAGCAGACCGGACGAGGGACCGGGCTGTGCCCTCACGAGCTGAGTGGCCTCATACGTTACTTATCCCGCCCAAACCTCAACTTCTTCATCTGTAAATTGGGGAAGATCATAAGAATTTAAATAATCATAGCTCTCTGGATGAATTCTGGAAGGATTCAGTGGTGCTTAGAATAATGTGCTTAGAATGAAAACATTTCAGTAGTGGTGGTTTTACTGGGGAGTGGTCCGCGGAGGTGGGGAGGGGCAGACACGTGGCCCCGTTTGTGTGTGGCCCTGCCTGCCTGTGGGTCTGGGCACGGCCAGTGGGCACGGCCAGGACGTGGGCTCTGGCCCGAACCCTCCTTCCGGAAGACAGAGGCCATCCGAGAGCTGGCAGGGCGCCCCCGTAGGCTGGGTGACCGGCGGAAGTCAGGGGACAAAGACAGGGCCCTGACCTTTCGAGGGCCCCAGGAACAGCGCCCGAGGCGTTCGGGGGAGGCGGGGCGAGGAGCAGAGCGGGCGTTTCTTTCCGAACCCGAGGCGGCTCCCGCAGGGGGTCGGGGCCAGTTCACAGGGGACACCCGGCGGCAGTGCGAACACCGCGGGACTGTGTCCCCCAGCCGGAGCGGGGGTCTGAGCACAGCCCCATGTGGCCAAGCACCGTGGGGCAGCGAGGACGCCCCCCTCCGGCCTCTCTCAGGCACTACCCCCGCCTGGCTCGCAGGGCGGGTCTCCCGGGCCCAGTGGGCAGCACGCGGGGTGGGCATAGGCCGCATCCCCATGCGGCCAGGCCCAGCTTCTTAAGGAGGATGAGCACACGTGTGTGCGAGCATGTGTGAGTGACAGGCTGCGTGCGTGTCAGTGTGCGTGTGTGCGTGTCAGTGCATGTGCATGTCAGTGTGCCAGTACGTCTCCCAGGCCCAGTGGGCAGCACGCGGGGTGGGCATAGGCCACATCCCCATGCGGCCAGGCCCAGCTTCTTAAGGAGGATGAGCACGTGTGCGTGTGAGCGTGTGTGAGTGACAGGCTGCGTGCGTGTCAGTGTGCGTGTGTGTGTGTCAGTGCATGTGCCAGTACGCGTTAGTATGTGTGTCAGTATGTGCGTGTGTGTCTGTATGTCCGTGCATGGGCATGTGCGTATGTCAGTGCGTGTGCGTCAGTCCACGTGTGTGCATGTCAGTGCATGCCAGTGTGTGTCGGCACATGTGTCAGTGATTGTGTTGGTGCATGTATCGGCATGTGCACATGCCTGTCATCGTGTGTGTCCGTGTGTCTGCGCATGTGCACATCGGTGCATGTGTGTTCATGCATGTGTGCACATGTTGGTGCGTGTGCACATGTGTCTGTGCATGTGTGTCGGTGTGCACGTCAGTGCATGCGTGTCAGTGCCTGTGTGTCAGTGCGTGTGCATGTAAGTGTGTGTTGGCGCAGTGCATGTGCACGCGTGTCGGTGTGTGTTGGCACATGCATGTCAGTGCGTGTGCGTCAGTCCACGTGTGTGCATGTCAGTGCATGCCAGTGTGTGTCGGTACATGTGTCAGTGATTGTGTTAGTGCATGTATTGGCATGTGCACGTGCCTGTCATTGTGTGTATCCGTGTGTCTGTGCATGTGTGCACCAGTGCATGTGTGTTCATGTATGCACACACATGTTGGTGTGTGTGCACATGTGTCTGTGCATGCGTGTGTCGGTGTGCACATCAGTGCATGTGTGTCAGTGTGTGTGTCAGTGAGTGTGCATGTCAGCATGTGTCGGTATGTGTGTTAATGCATGTATCAGTGTGTGCGCAAGCATGTCATTGTGTGTCAGTGAGTTCGTCCATGTTTGTGCATGCGTGTCAGTGCCTGTGTGTGTCAGTGCGTGTGCATGTAAGTGTGTGTTAGTGCTTGTGTGTCAGTGCGTGTGCACGCGTGTCGGTGCGTCAGCTCGTTCCTGAGACTGGGCACTCGATGTGTGTGTCGGGGCAGGAACGGGGGGACCCGCAAAGACCAGAACTTCTAAGTCTGTCTTGACTCCGCCTTAGAGCTGGTTTCCATCTCGGGGAGCCGGAGGGTCCCTGGGGCCCACGCTCGTCCCCCAGAAAGAGTCATGCCGCCCCTGAGCGGGCCTCCACGCTGCCACCCCAGGGCACGCATCCTGCCGAGCGCGGTCTCGTCTGCAGGTGGACGGGAGGGCGCAGGGCGTCTGGCGGGTGCGGACGCGGTCCCCGCCTCGCGGAGCCAGGAGCCGGCGTCGTCGGCCCTGGTCTGACCATGGCCCCCCTCTTTCCCCGCGTCTGTGCGCAGGTCTCCTCCCTGGGGGTCACCACCTTCAGCCTCTGCGCCCTGGGCATCGACCGCTTCCACGCGGCCACGAGCACGCGGCCCAGGGCGCAGCCCGTGGAGCGCTGCCAGTCCATCCTGGCCAAGCTGGCCGTCATCTGGGTGGGCTCCCTGGCGCTGGCCGTGCCCGAGCTCCTGCTGTGGCAGCTGGCACGGGAGCCCGCCTCCTCCGCCGGCCCCGCGGACCTGTGCGTCATGAAGCCCTCGGCCAGCCTGCCCGAGTCCCTGTACTCACTGGTGCTGACCTACCAGAACGCGCGCATGTGGTGGTTCTTCGGCTGCTACTTCTGCCTGCCCGTCCTCTTCACCGTCACCTGCCAGCTGGTGACGTGGCGCGTGCGGGGCCCCCCGGGCCGGAAGCCGGAGTGCCGGGCGGGCACGCACGAGCAGTGTGAGAGCCAACTGAGCAGCACCGTGGTGGGGCTGACCGTGGTCTACGCCCTCTGCACGCTCCCCGAGAACGTCTGCAACGTCGTGCTGGCCTACCTCTCCGCCGAGCTGACCCGCCAGACCCTGGACCTCCTGGGCCTCGTCACCCAGTTCTCCACCTTCTTCAAGGGGGCCGCCACCCCCGTGCTGCTGCTCTGTGTCTGCAGGCCGTTGGGCCAGGCCTTCCTGGACTGCTGCTGCTGCTGCTGTGACGAGTGCGGCCAGGCCTCGGGGGCCTCGGCCACCGCCGCCTCGGACGGCAAGCTCAAGACGGAGATGTCCTCCTCCATCTACTTCCACAAGCCCAGGGAGTCGCCCCCGCTCCTGCCCCTGGGCACGCCTTGCTAGGCCAGGCCCCGGAGGGAGACCTGGGAGACAGGCAAGCTGGGTGGCGAGGGTGCCACCCCAGGCCGCTGGTCTTCTGTCCCCATGGGTCTGGCTCTGTGTCCGTCTTTGGTCTAAGGTGGACCAGGGTCCTCTCATCGAGGTCCAGGCCTGTCCGAGCCCCTCCCCAAGCAAGGCCTCCCTGTCCCTCTGCGCTCCCTGCCCGCCCCCCCCCGCCGGCCTCTCCCTGGGAGGTGGCGATGCTTCTAGGTCCTTAGAACTGCCCAGAAACCGCCCCTCCAGCCAGAAACCAGAACTCCAGCTGGGGGCCTGGCCGTTGCACCCCGCGAAAGCGCCGTCTCCCTGCGCCCCGCCGTCCTGGAATGGGGCCCTGGGAGCCAGCCCGACCTGGCTCCTGTCTGGCCTGGGCCCGTCCAGCCTGGGAGCCGCCTCCCCACTCCTGCTCAGAGGAGCCCTGGGTGCCCTGGATGGTCCTGCGCCCTCCCTTGTTAGACGCTCCCCCATAGAAGAACTTCCTTGGGAAACAATAAACCATGTAGAACTAACCCTGTGCCACATCCTGGCGGCGCCGCACGCACCTGGGCCTTCTGCGGCAGGCGCTGCCCGGGGCGGGCTCCATCCTGGCCTGTGGCCGAGCCCTGTGGCTCGGAGGGATGCAGAGCGCTCAGGCCCCCTCCTGGCCCGAGCCCAGCGCCCCTGGGAAGTCGGGGGCTGCAGCTCTGCATCCTCTGGAACCTCCCCCGGCCCTGGTGCGCTCTCCACAAAGCCCTTTTGGAGGACAGCGGCCCCCCTCCAGGACCCCGGGGCTCGGCGCCCCTCGCTCTGAAGGCCTCTTGTTCGGTTATTTAGGACTGTTTTGCGTGGAGATGACCCAGCTGCCTGTCCCCTCTGCCTGTCCCCACCTGCCCCCGGCCCTTCCCGCAGCCCGAGCTCCATCCTATGCCCCAGCAGCCACTCCCACAGTCTGCCCTGGCTGTTTGGGCCTGGAGGACTGGCACGAAGTCCACTAGAGGGATGCCCAGCCCGGGCCACGAAGCAGGCCCACGCCGTAAGCCCAGGCTTCTCAAGCGCCCAGCCTGGTCGGCAGCGCACCTCTGGGTCCCCATGTGCACGGGGCCTCGGAGGACCCCTAGGGGCTGGGGGGAAAGCCCAGGGGCGCGGTTCCCCTCTCTGCACCCCTCCCACACCTCGTGGCCGCAGCCCTCCCGGTGCCCAAGCCTCCTCCCCTCGCTCCCGGATCTTAACAGCCTTGTTCTAAATCCCTGGCACCCACTCCCAGGCCGGGGACACCAAGGAGGAGGGAGGGGGTTGCTAGGTGACGGCTGCGTGCTCTGCACGCTCTGTGCTGGGAAAGGACACCCGCCCCCTGCTCGGCGGACCTGTTGCCACAGTGACTGAAGGCCCCGCTTTGTCTGCAGAAACTTAAGGCGTGGGGGCTGGGTGGACGGGGGGCCTCAGGCCAGTCCTGGATGCACCAGCAGCTCCCGAAGGGATGCGGAAAGGGGGACCGGGGTGCGCGGAGGTGAAGTCTGGGAGCTGGAGGGCTGAGCACCGGGCAGGGGGACCCATCGCCATCCCGTTGGGGCTCCTTCCACGAAGGGCGCCCTCTGCCTCGCCCTCCTGCTGGCCGGTGGCTCGGGCTGAGGGGCGGTGGGGCTCCGAGGCCCTGCCCCCACCGCCACCCCCGGCCTGCCGGCATGAAAGCCCCGCAGAACTGGTCAGCTGGCCAGCCAGGCTTGGGAAAGAGCCACTGTCCCTGCAGCCTGGGCCAGCTAGGGGAACAATGTGGCATTTGTCGCTTGGGGGTCCCGGGCTGGGGATGGGGGTGGGGCGGCCGGGCGGCGGACTCGAGCTGGGAGCTGACACTCGGCTTCCTTCAGGGTCGACTTCAGCTCTCAGACCCGGAGGCCAGGTGGCGGGGCACCCACGGAGCCCCTCGGCTCACGGGGCGGGGGGTTAGCGGTGACCACCGCCTCACGCGGTCGGGCCGGACACAGTCACGGCTTTGCCGCTTGTCTGTGGGAATGTCCTCCCTCCGAGGACAAGTCACTGAACAAGACAAGACGCACAAAGCACGGGGCGATGGCTGGCACCTCCCCTTCCTTCCTTCCTGTGTGGGGGTTCAGCTCCCTGAGGCCGGAGCGGCCCGGCCAGGGTTTTCTTCCCTCGTCCAGGTTTGGGCGAGTCACGGGCCCCAAGCGCAATGATTGCCACAGACGCAGCGTGTCCCCTGTTTGACTGTGACAGATAAGTCCCTGCCATCGTCTTAGCCATCTGCTGCGTGCAGGCCCCGGGGCGAGGTGTTGGCCGGCTGGTCACCAGCTCAGCTTGCTTCGCCCTAGCCGGAGGATGCGGGAGGGAGAGAGGCAGGTGGGCCCTGAACCGGCCCTGCCCTGCTCCCCAGGGGTCGCCTGTAGCCGGGAGGGGGCAGAGGACAGCCTGGGCCCAGCTCCGACCTCCTCGCCAGGTGGCACATTTTTAAGAAGGCACCCTCAAATCATTGAGCTCCGTTTACCACGCGGCACCCACGATTCTCCCCAAACTCCTCTGGCAATAGGAACATGCCCCTGGCAGACCGTCTGTCAGCCCCGGTGACGGGCAGACGCCTCCAGGAGGCCCTGGCCACCAGGACGTGGGGCGAAGCTCAGAGCTCAGAGCCCGGAGCCCGGCTCTGGAGGGGACCGGAAGGATGGAGCCTTCTGCGGGAGAAGCCTGCTCCATTTCCAGGGTGAACGGTGGCTGCGGGGGGGGCGAGGCTTCCTGTAAAACTGGGTCAAGATGGCCCCAGCTTGGGTGAGCAGGGTGGGCAGCGGGGGCAGCAGCTCTGAAGGTTGGGTGGGTGGGGAGCGGGCTGGACCCGGATGGAGGAGTGAGGCCACGGCCCCTCCTGGGACACCGGCAGCATCTCAGGACAGAGCAGCA